ATATATATATATATACACTGGAGATCAAAATTAGAGAACAACTCATAAAAAATGGAATAATTCTGAAATAATACCATCTTCACTGTTCCACAGTTAAATGACATTTTATTGTGTCTATATCATTGTACGACAACACTTTTTTTCACAAAATGACTAAAGGTATTTCGCAAAAAAAATATTTTCAGAAAATGCACTGATCAAAATTAGAGAACACAAGTGATCAAAATTAGAGAACAACCATGACTTTGTCTTGGAAAAAAAAATCTGAAGGTTACAACAGTCAGCAATTAATAAGAAGTATACAGGCCTCTGCTGTGAATGACTTCAGCACATCTGCGGCCACAGGATAGCACTAGTCTCTCACACTGCTCTGGTGTGATTTTGGTCCATTCTTCTTCCAGTCTCCTCCACAGTTCGGTGATTGTAGTGGGTTTCTTGGCCATAACTTTGTCACCTAGGATTTTCCAGAGGTTCTCTATTGGATTGAGATCAGGACTCTGGGCAGGCCATGCCATTAATTCAATGTTTTGACCTTCAAGGAAAATCTTTACCCGTTTTGCTGTGTGACACGGGGCATTGTCCTGCATGAAGATTGCAGGCTGATTGGGCGATGAACGCAAGTGAGGAACCATGTGCTGTTGAAGAAGGTTCTGATACACATTTGCATTCACTCGGCCATGTAGCTGTACAAGAGGCCCAACTCCTGCTGCAGAAAACATGCCCCAAACCATGACACTTCCTCCTCCACCTTTCACTGACTTTTTAACACACTTTGGGTTTAGTCTTTCTCCAATGTGTCGCCGAACATAATGCTTCCCATCAGACCCAAATAAATTAAATTTGCTTTCATCACTGAAGTGAACTCTGGACCAGTTCTCCTCAGTCCACACAACATGCTCCTCAGCAAAGCTCAGTCTAGCTTTTTGATTTTTTCGGCTAATGAGAGGTTTGGTCACTGCAGTGTGGGCCTTCAGTCCAAATGCTGTTAAACGGCGAGACACTGTATGGCGAGACAGATCCTTACCATGTTCAGCCCCGCAATGGCGAGCACTTCCAGCTGCAGTGTGGAAACGATTACCCATTGACATCCTCCGCAGTGACCTGTCCTCTCTTGCATCTGTCTTTCGTGGACGACCAGCCTTCTTGGGCGACTTGAATGAGTTTGTAGTTTTGTAAAGATTCAATATTCTTGAAATCACAGATTTGGAACGACCAACTTGTCTTGCTATGGCTGATAGGGTCATCCCGTTGGTTTTCATCTGGACAACCTGCTGCCGGAGGCCTTCAGTCACTTTAGAACGGCCCACCATCTTGCAAAGTCAGTGAAACTAGCAGTTAGAATGCCAGTTAAATAAGGGTTGACAGATAATCAAGGAAATTAGCACCATGTGCTTGATTAGCACCATTAAGTGGGAGGCACCTGAAAGTGTTCTCTAATTTTGATCAGTGCATTTTCTGGAAAATATTTTTTTTGCGAAATACCTTTAGTCATTTTGTGAAAAAAAGTGTTGTAGTACAATGATATAGACACAATAAAATGTCATTTAACTGTGGAACAGTGAAGATGGTATTATTTCAGATTTATTCCATTTTTTATGACTTGTTCTCTAATTTTGATCTCCAGTGTATATTATGTGTGCATGAATGTGTAAATGCTGTACCTGACTGAATGGCACATCTGTAGTGATAGTTTCTCGGGCAGCCTTTCTGGAAACAGCCCATTATTGCACCTGTTTGTTGGCAAAGTGAACAAACCTGAAAATGGACAATTAAAGAGTTAGTAAATGCAGACATACTCCGGTCAATAACAACAGTCCAACATTTCTCGCTTGTCTTTTCTTGCTGCTAGATCAAATCTATCTATCTGTCTGGCAATACGTTTAAATGTACTGTTTGTATTGGATAGTGATTGGCCTACAAAAACATGACAGTCCCTGATCATATACAGGGGCAACAGCACCACCATTAGGCCCAGGATGTGAAATGCAACGCTATAATCAGAGCCGGTCAAAAAGTTCCAAGACGGAGGATATTATTTCAAACAGTCTCCTTATGATAGGAAACACAGTCTCAGACATGTCTAGTAGTCTAGTGTCTCCAACACTTTGGAAGTTTTTTTTTTTTTCAATTATTTAACTACAGTTACAAAATTGCACTGATCACTTTAATTCGCTGATGTAAAAACCGCCTACACAAGCTTTTTAGACTGAAATAAAAGGCATTTTAGAGAAATACAATTCAAATTTAAGAGAAAATCAACAAGTCTTCATCAACGGCAATAACTTAAATACAACAAGGTTCTTAGAGGTCTTCAAGTACTGTTTCTGAGGATATACTGTATACACAACATTGGACTTAAAAAAACCCGAGATGTTTTAAAATAAAAAAATAATTCTCTAATACTTCTGATCTAAATAAAAAAAAGAAATACCCAGAATTTTTTAAATGTTGTAAAATAAAAAAATAATTCTCTAATACTTCTGATCTAAATTAAAAGAAAAATACCCAGAAAGTTTTAAATGTTTTA